GTTACGGTGAAACCGCCTCTTTACAGCGATTTTCCGCCTTTATATATTTATAAAGTTGACTGTGGAGTGAGGAAGTGACTGTCAGGGGCGTAAAACACGGGAAACGGCCTGAAGGACGGCTGTCAACCGGCTCCCCCCCGCCCACCCCCGCCCCGAGGAGCGTTTGGTTTCCCGGGTTTCGGTTCTGTGCGCCGGAGCTCCGGGCAGAGCTCGCTGGTGGTTTCCCCAAGGAAAAGGCTGATTCCGCCAGGCGGGGAGAAGGCTGGGGGTTTAATCCTCCCCGGTGCCTCCTTCGTGCCACCGGGCCATCTAAACCCCCGTGGAAGTCCTCCTCTGCAGGGTTTGTGAGCGTCGCTCAGGAGACGAAGAGGTTCCAGAAGGGGCCCCCCGGTCGCTAAGGGTCAACGTGGAAACTGCACCGTGAGATTATGCAACGCCCCCCCCCGCAGAAAACTCCCGCTCAAGAATATCTCGTAACTTGTGGCAATAGATAAAAAGTTGCTTTTTTTGAAGTGTTTTAGTCCCTTGTTTGAAGTGATGAGAAGAAGAAGGAAAAAGAAAGTTGTTTGCCTGCTGAGTGAGAGTCAGTGTGTTAAATCCCGTGAGGGTTCGGTATGGGAATGTGCTTCCAGAGACCCACTTCTGTGGGGAGAAGGGAAGGAGATGTCGCGTTCCTGCGCCTGTTGACATGATCCCCTCCGGACAAAGAAGTGACTCGCTGCCATCTCTGACCCCACTGAGTCCCTGGAAGCCACGCTGCCTGAGGAAGAGGAGTAAATCCCTGTGCTGAGAAGGCGATGTTGGCCAAGGAGCCCCTCGTTTCTCCGCCAGGAGGGGGATGAGCTTCCGCAGGGAGCCGGTGGCGGCTCAGCTGTGGGAAACTGTTGCGGTGTTTCCTCTGCAAACCCCGCAGAGCGTTTAGGAGTCGGTAAAGATGGAGACAAACCTCGAGACTTCCGCTGTGAGACTTTTCTTCCGTCTTTTTAGATAAATATCTTGTAGAGAACCATCAGGCGGGCAGCTGCCAGTTGGAAAACTTGACGGAGGAGTGGGAAAGTTCACAGCTGGCTGATAAAAGCCCTCAGTGTCAACAGCCAGGGCTTTTCCCAGAGCTGTCTTTTATTTCTAGAGCGAGGAAATATCCCCAAATCCCCCTTCCTGATTTTTGAAGTTTTACTGAGTGATGTTTTCTACTGATAAAAGTAACTCCTGAGCTTCACCGCAGCAAAGGCAGCGTCAAGTCGGCGCTTCAAAGCGTTTCTGGATACATCTCCGTCCTAACAAACCAGAGCCAACCGCTTCTACAGACCCTCCTGTCCTGGCGTCGACTGCCAAAACGCCACGCGGGTTTGCCGGCTGCTGGCATCATTCCTGCGGCCGGATTTCCTCTGGTGGCCCTGGCACTGCCGTGAGGAGGAACCCACCTGCGCCTGGTGCTGCCGACCTCACCTGGCGCCGCTCCCCTTGTTTTATCGCTTCCAGATTAAATATTTTCCCTTTGTGATTTAATTATTTTTTTCTCCAGCTGGTGTAAGTGCGCAGTGTTAACTCCCGCCTCACTGGGACGGGACGCGCATTTTGGATATCCCTCTATTAATCATATTTTAAGGATTAATATGCTCAGTTAGCATCGCCTCGGTCTCCTGGGGATCTCTGGATCCTGTGGTTCCCTCTGAACGAGTGGGAAGGTGACAGACTTCAGCTCCCTGGCAGCAAGATGCAATTAATTCTTTTTTTTAGAAGGCGATAGGGATCGTGGGATCAATACGTGGTGTGAAAACAGGGATTACAAGCACCCAGCGTGTTTTAGGGCTCCGCTTTCCCTCTGCAGGGGCTCCACTGGGGCTTCTCTGCTCATCACAGGCTGGGAGACTTAATTTGGGGGGGATTATAGTTTTTTTGGGGGGGCTCCCTGGTGTTTTTTTTCCTCTCTGGAGCAGGAAGGGAATTCCCCTTGAATCCCTCAGGCCTGGGCTGCAAATTCCAACGTACAGACACAGTCTCCTGCCGTGCAGCTCGTGTTGGCGTCTGCCTGCAGAGTGGAGAAAACCACTGGGGAGTCAAACTGTTCTCACAACTGCTGCAAAAATAAAACCCAAACAGGGTTATTTGGGCTGGTTTCCCCCCATTTGGTGTTTTCTGGAAAATAATGGGAATAGCGGTAGCAGGAACCACCTGTTGAATCCCCCTTGTCCCCTCAAACTCGCCTTGTTTGAGAGGCTGAAAGGTTTCCTGCAGCCTTCACCTCTGGATTATAGCGCAGCAGGTCTCTCTGGATTAATTAAGGTTAACCAAGAGGCGCGTTTCTCTCTTGCAGGCTGGTGGGAAGGCGGGAAAGGACAGCGGGAAGGCCAAGGCCAAGGCGGTGTCGCGCTCACAGAGAGCCGGGCTGCAGGTAGGGCACGACGGCGCATGCTTCTTCCCCAGTTTAATCTGAAAATGGGCATTTCTGAGCAAAACTCGCCCTTCTGGGAGGCAGGCTGCCTAAAACCCTCCTGTTTTGGGGGTAAAAACCTAATGTTTTATGATTTGTGTTGTCATTATGGAGCGATGGGGACCCAGAAGCTGTAGACACGCAGGGTGGGAGAATCGCTTGGGCTAAAATCAGCGTAATTACGTGAATTTGGGGGGATCTGTAAGTGTTAATGAGATGTTAATTAATTGCTCCATGCCCCAGTTCCCGGTGGGCCGGATCCACAGACACTTGAAGACTCGCACCACCAGCCACGGGCGAGTGGGAGCCACCGCTGCCGTCTACAGCGCTGCCATCCTCGAGTACCTCACCGCAGAGGTAGGGCCTCTTCATCCCAGGTTGCGGGATTCCAAAAAATCCTTTCCCTTGGAATTCCGAGTGTTTCCCCCCCCCCCCCTCCACAATTTCCCGGCAGGTGCTGGAGCTGGCGGGCAATGCTTCCAAAGATCTGAAGGTGAAGCGGATCACTCCTCGCCATTTGCAGCTGGCGATCCGCGGGGATGAGGAGTTGGATTCGCTCATCAAAGCCACCATTGCCGGTGGGGGTGAGTATCGTCCTCGCTGTCCCCTTTCCCCTCCCTCACTTGGGAATTGCAGCGTGGTGGTGGTGGGGGGGAATATGGGGAAAATACACAGGAATTTGGCAGCGGTGATTAATGCCGGAGGCTCCTGGATCCCGGAGGGGGGTGATCCCTTGAGCAGGAGGAAGTGTTCACATGGGGTTAGAATGAAATTCTGCTGGGAACAGAGGATTGATTGGAACTTCTTGGGAAATCTGTTCGTATCTGACG